CATTGCTTTCCAGAAGGCCACTAGCAGAAGACAGCTACTGGTTGAGGCATTATTCCAGTACCCAGAGTGCTTTCCTGGTACCTCTGTGCTTAACCCTTCCCCCAGCTTCCAGGCTCTCCACCTCCACAGCCAGAGCAGGAGTGCTCCAGGTGCCCGGCCTCGGCACAGGCAAAGTGCCCTGAGAAAGCACAGCACAGCTCAGTGCCTGCTCCAACACGTCTCCTGGCTGGCCTTTGCCTTCCCTCCAGCTCTGCTTGGTGGGAAAAGCATAAGCTGATGTTCACAGAGGCCTCTGTCTCCAGGCTGGTAATCCCAGAGCAGACAAAGGCTGATATCAGTTTCGTGGGAGAACAAGCCGGAGCGAGCAGCTGGATGCTGTTGCAGGCAGCACCAAACCCCAAGCGACTGGGGCTTGGTCATTGTCAGGCTGCTTGGACAAACATCATTATAATCTGGTCTGTGCTTAACAATCAGTATAGCTGTTGATAATGAGCTGGAGAAATTGCCCTGCTCAGAGTCTGAAGCCAGGGAGACCACTGGACTTCCCATGGATCCTGGTGTGTCACAGGTGCTGTCTGGACACTGGCTATGCAGCCAAAGACACAGCTCCCTGCTGGCAGTCCCTTCCCCAGACACAGAGCTGCTTATTCACCCCCAGCAGCCACCCCTGCTTCCCCCAGCACCCACATCTGTGTCCTCCTGACATGCTTCTGCACAGCTGGCAGCTCCAGGACAAACTGGGCTTGCTGTCCAACACACAGCAGCTGGCTGTGATTCCCTCCTCCATGAGGCAGCCCAGCACCTACAGCATCCTGCAGAAAGGAGCTCTACAGATCACCACACTCTGTTTTGAACATCCTTTTCACCAATTTTGATGTCTCCCAGTGCCTGTACAAACTTCTGCCTTGTATGGCTGATGGTTTCATGGACCACACCATAACCCCCTTGGCCAGCCCCCTCCCAGACTGGAGGGTCCCAGTCAGCCAGGCTTGTCCCACACAGAAGCCAAGGCCCTCTCTAAACCTCTCTCATTTTTCACCAACAGACCATGCTGATATGCCATAAATTTTGGCAATACATAACAATTAGTTCCACTCTGTTCTCCTTCCTCATAGCTCCACACCTTTATTTAGTCCCACAGAGACTTACCCACTTCTCCCACTGCTGCCTAGTCTCCTTACAAGCCCCCTGTGAACAGCCTCACCACCAGCAGAACAAGCTCCTGAGTTTTCAGGCAGCAAGTACCCAGGTACATCTTCAGCACCTGGAAGATGCAGAATGCTGCATGAGGGCTAAACTCACACCCTGCAGAGCCCAGGGGACTTGTGCTCATGTTCCCACCCTTTATCACAGCTTCTGCCTTCAGGCTGGGCTGGACAGTAAGAGAGAAACCCTGAGAATGCCCCCACATGCTGCCAAGGGGAGGAGATCACTACACCCAGAGATGCTGCTACTCCCCAAGGAGACAGCCAGTTTCAGCAGCCAGGAAACTCTGCTACCTCCAATTTGCCAAATACCATCTCCAGTCAAGTTCTGCTAAACACCCTCACTCCATGGGAGTGAAGCACAGTACTGTCAGCCAGGTTTCTGAGCCTCCCCTGAACTAATGGGACTCCACTCCTCTAAGCTGGCAGAGATAAGCCACAAAGCTGCTTCTGTGTCATGTCTCATTTTCCCTCTGCTTCTTATTCTCCCACAGGGTCATCCTGCTGCAGCACCATCAGCAACACCAATGGAATTGAACACCAAATGGCAGTTTTCAAAGCTCTACCCAAGCTGCTGGGTGCTGCTGGCTCTCCCTTGGCCCACCAGCTCCTTAGGAAGAACACTTGTTAAATAAATTTTTCTTGGAAACAACCTTGGGCGAAGAATGGGCACCAAGAATTCCCTGGGGAGCTCCCAGCTTTCCCAGGCTGCCCTTCTCTCACATCAACTCCTCCTCCCCTCCCTTGTGGCACCAGGAGTCTGTCCCCAGACCTTGCCTGCCAGACAGACCTACCCAGACATTACTACTTCATGTACCCACAGAAGGGTGGTAAAAAGCTTGCTGGGCTGCCTGATTTACACAACTAAAATGACAAGTGATAGAGGGATCAAAGCCAGTCAGGAAGGAAGAGGTCCCCTCTGGATGGGCCCACTGAAAAGGAAAGTGAAAAGATCTGGGTCCTTGTTCTCCCTCCTCCTCTTTGCGCTGCTCTGTGAGTCTCAAGACCATTTCATGCTGACATTGTCGTCATCCTGGCAGCTCCTTCTAAGCCTGAACCTGCTTGTCCTCTCTGTGCAACTTTCCCCTCACTTCCCCCTTCCATCAGAACCATTCTGATGGATCAAGCACTGCTCCAGCTCCCTGGGCCTGGCCACACCACATTAAATGGGGATTTATGAGCCTCGAGCACAGACAAGAGTTATGCAGTCTGCACTTCTGCGTGCTGCATACCAACTCCCCAGCTGGTTTAAATCAGATTAACTCCACTGATGTAAGATATTTAAGGCAAGAGTGTTCCATGATTTACACCAGCTAAGAAGCTGTTATATTATAACTTGGCAGCTGCAGGTTTTAGATGTGAAGTTTTTTGGGCAAAGATCCCAAGCAACAGTAAACGACAGAGCAGCTGAGTGGCAAACCCCATTTAACCTCAGTGCCATGTGCATGCAGCCAGCACATGTCCCACAAAAGTCCCTAAAAAAATAAAATAACTGGTGTTCAGTTTTCAGTGCCACCAGTCTGCAAAGTCAATGCTCCATCATAACCCATAGATTCCAAACAAATCACTAAATCATGATACTGTGGAAATGCGTCTCTTCAAAAAATGATATATTTGGTAAACTAAAGCCAGGCAATTTTAGTACAAAGGTCGCTTGCTACTGAAAAAATCCCCATAGACTGATTGATGCAAATGCAAATGAACACACCAGAGAGTTTAGTATTCAGATCAGGGCCTTCATTTCTGCTAGAGGATGCTCAAGCTTCCAATCAAATCTGGATTCCACAAAAAGTGGCGCTAATGGTGTGGAGGCAGATGTGCTTGGAGAGGTGCACAAAAAGACACAGCATGCAGGGCAGAACACAACATTCAAGGCCGAAGAAATGGCAAAGAAATACACCAGGAAAAATGGTAATAGTGCCTGAAAAAGAGGGCTTGGTCCTTTCTCCTCCGACTTAGCAAAGTGGCTTGTTCAGCCCAGTAGATACTGCTTGTCAGAGCCAGGAGGGCAGCAAGAGCCATTCCCACATCACCTGCAAGCCTGGGAGTGGCAGCAGAGCAGAGCTGCAGCCTTTCCTGTGCCTCTCCTTCAGTGCTGGCTGCACAGGGAGGAGGCTGCTGAGCCCCACCAGCCCCATAAATCACCAGGCACCCAGCACAGCAAACCTGACCTCCCTTGCAAGGGAAATATATATCAGCTTTACTAGCAGCTTCTGAAACAAAAACTAAACTCACGAAACTGTAAAAATGCCTCTTTAAACATCCTGTGCCCCAACAGACCATTGAAAGCCCTGTCAGGCCGAGGGAGAGCAAACAAGCTTTCCAAGAGATGAGGGCTGATGAACTGAGAAAAAGCATTTCAGACTGAGCAGCTTCTTGCTGGCAGGCAGCACGACAGGGATATCTTTAGCACACAGCAAAGACAGAGTAGGGAATCAGGAGGAGTGAATTAGCCAGCATTAATACCATCATTTGTATGCAGTGTACTTCAAAGCATTCACAGTGCAGACAGCACCAGACACACACAAAATTACCCAAGTCTGGGGGAGAGCCATGTAGAGCACATTTGCTGGAGCCCACAGAGTAATGATCAGTGAGCTGGGATGGGACTCTCAGGGCCAGCACTGCCCCACTGTTTAATGAGCTAGTGTGGGAAGGCCATGCCACAGGGGCAAGTCCACAAAGGACAGAGGAAGTCTCAAGAAGCACAGTAGAGGCAGGAGCTCCTAAGTAGAGCCAAAGTGGGACAGGACTCAGCAGGGCCACAGGGGAGGTGTATCTGCTCACATCCCAGCAACAGTGCACCTGAGATCCATGGTAGGAAGTCTGGAGGGAGAATTAGAGCTGGGCAGAGGCTCCAGATGCCAAGCAGGCTGCTGGTGCCAGCAGTGCTAGCCCTGGGAACACGCACACATGTGGGAACAGGCCACCATTGCATGACAGCCACAAGCAGCTTTGAGAGGCTGGTCACCTCCTCCTGGGGCAGTGTATGGCCAGACAGGGTCACCTGCAGCCTGCCATGCCCAGGACATGTGACCAGCCCAGCAAGGGATGCTGCCATCACTGGTGCATCAGGCCAGCCAGGCAGCTGGCAGGGAGAGCCCAGTGACAAGCAGGGCTGCAGGAGCTCCAGTGCAGGGGTTTGGAGCCCAAGGACACAAAACCCTACTTGTGCAACCAAAGACCAGAGAGCATGCTGGTTCCATGAGAGGCAACTGCACACAGCCAGGGGAGGAAAATGGCATCAGCTGAGCTGAGCCCCTTCTGCCAGTTGCCTTGTTTTCCTGCAGAGTTCTTGCTGTTTCTGCACTTGATAACAGCAGAGGCACAATAAGGAAACTTAAGTGACCAGCGGCTGCTAATCAGCAAAGCTTTCCAAAAGCTCCCTAAAGCCAAGAGGAAAGACTCAACAACTACTCCCTGCTGATACTCAAGAGTGCACAGCTACACCACAGACACACAGCATCTATTTCTGCTGGCACCACAAGGGGAAAGGGGCTGTAAACACACACAGAGAACAAGCCTGTTTGCTCCTGTCTCACCTCTCCTATCATCTCAGGGCATAAAGGCAGGGCCAGCTGCCATGTGACAAGGAGAACCTCCTGTCACTCATGCCAGTGGAGACCTGGATGAGGTCTTGGACTGGTAAGTCCATCACTCTGCAGAAAGGAGCAGAATCCTAGGAGTCCATCCCAAAAGTTTATTAGCTTTGTATTTCAAATACCACTAGATAACATCTCTGTGCAGAAGAGAAAGAGAGCCTGTGCTGCTGGAGGCAGCAGAGCAGAGACCTACCTTTGGGCATGATGCGATGCATTGCAACTGACAGGAAGAAGATGGAGTCGCTGTAGTAGGTCCCCGATCCAGCACTGAAGTGTTTCTGCATGGCCTCAACAATGGGAAACAGCTTTTCTGTCAGCTCATTCACATCATGGACGATTACCTGGCAGAGACACCAGAAACACCACTCAGCCACTGCTCCTGGGGACAGGCCCAGCTCCAGCAGCCTCTGCCCAGCCCCCAGCAGCACGGGCCGAGAGGGAGGTTGGTAAAGCACAAACAGCGCTGCTGGCACTGCAGCTGCACAAAGGGGCCTGCCTGCCCTGGCCCCTGCACATCCTCTTGATGCAAGAACAGGCTAAGTGCAGGGAAAGGAGGACTTTCACAGCCATTTTGTAACTGTAAGGTGGGCAGAGACTTGAATCCCCTCACACAACCAAGTGTGTTCCATGTTTTGGGCTGTTTCTCTGGTCTGTTCCCACTGCCTGATGCAAGCACATATCTGGTCTCCCATATGGAGCCCATCAGAAGAGGCAACAGCTCACTCCAGGCTCTGGTGTGCTGCGGTTTAGAGCCAAGCCAGACCACATCACTTACCCTGAGGACCAAGGCTTGCTCCCTCCTACAGAAGCAGGCTGTGACAGGGCCAGGGACACAGCCCAGATTTGCTGCTCCTCAGCCTGGCATGGAGGCAAGCTCTGCAGCACGTCCCGGCGGGGCTGCAGGGGGAAAGGGAGGACAGGCCGCAGCACGCTGACGAAAATCCAAACATCAGGAGCTACAGCACAGCAACTTCTGTAGATGGATCTCAGCCTGCCTGTGCTGGAGTTCTGCTGGTGCTCAGCCAGCCCTGCTCTGCCTCCCTCAGCCCTGCGGGAGCCCATGCACCAGCACGGGCCCTGGCACGCCTGCGCCATGGTTATGTCCCAGAAACAGGAGCAACCCCAAATGCACCTTGCCAGCTACTGACATTTTACAAGCTTATAATTTATTCTGGTCAAAGTCCAATGGACAGAAGCTTTCATGCAGCTTGTTATACCCACAGAAGGATACAGGTCACTGAATCACACAAGATAATGAGAGGGATTTTCAGGATAATTAAGAGAGATGAGGGACATGACCCTGGTGCAGATAAGGGGGAGTGCAGGAACTTGAGTGTGGACACTTGGGGTCGTGCTGCCTTCTTCAGGTCAGGGAAAGCACGAAAAGCCCTGCTGAAACTAAAGTCCAGCCAGGACATGACATTGCAGCAGTACTTGAATTTTGTACAGGGGAACCTATCGACCTTGTTTGAGGGATACCAAGATACTTCCACAAACTGGTCCCACCTTCAGCAGGGAACACAAACCACAATCTTTGTAGCTTGCTTTCAAACGAAACTATTTCAATGGGTCTAGTTTCACTTCTTTTCCCTACTAAAATTTAATCTGCTTAAAAAAAAGGGGCCCTGCACTATATACTTAAAACATGCAAGAGAGCACTTGCTTTTTTTTGTTTTAATTAAAAGAAAACCTAAACCAAGCCAAATGCTTCAGAGGAGGTGGCTCTGGAGCCTGTGCTGGTGCAATAACCATCCTCTCCATGGGGTGCACAAGGAGCTGCACTAATGCTCGGCTGGTGCAGAGACTGAGGCAGTGGGCAGTCTGGAGCTTCTCCTTCCACAGCTTTTTGCAGAACACATTGCTCAGACCAATGCACTCTCACGGCAGAGTGGAGCTTGCTGGATGCAGGGCTGTGCTCGTGGCTCCCATGATACACTGAACACACTGAGGTGATGGGGCTGTGCTGGCACTGGCCAGGATGGCTGAGCCAAGGCAGGGCAGTGCTGGGGGACAGGCACAGCCCTATGGCCTGTCCTGGGGAGGGCACTCTCCACACCCACGCTGGGCCCTGGCCATCATTGGGGTCTGTGCAGAGGCTCCATGGCCAGCACGTCCTTCAGCAGGGCGGCCCCGCTGCTGTCCCGGCTGCTGGGCTCGGAGCCAAGGCCTGCAGCAGAACAGCAGGAAAAACACAGAACAACACGTTCCAGGAAAGTGCATTGGAGAGCTCATCAGCAGCCACACCTGCCTTTGGGCAGCACAGCACAGTCCCCAGGACACTGCAGGGGAGGAAACTCTGTTACCATTCGGCAGCACCTCACCCCAGCTTTGTGGTGCCATCCCGGTGACAGCACCTGTGCTGAGCAGGACACAGCCAAAGGTGTCCAAACAAGCAAACCACCACTACTCTCTCAGTGCAAAGGCACTGGCAGCCTGTTCATGAAACTGAGCAGCACCAGCATGGGGATGTGTGATGGTCTGCTCCCAGCCCAGCTGGGCAGCTTTGGGGTCTGGCTGGGCTGGAGAAGCATGGAAGAGAAATACAGCACCTGTAACCACCCTTCTGCATCCAGCAAAGGCAGCCTGAGGTGTGTACAGCACATAAAAATGGGGGAGAAAATGCCAAACCAATTCCAGTCACCTCTGAAGTGAGCACACTGCCAAGCACCAGTGGACAAAATTTATAGGAGAAATACTCCTGAAACTCGAGACACAGCATCATCTGCCTTTCCACTCCTGCCAAAGAAAACAGGAAAAACATGTCTTTTGCCCAATCTTTTGTACTTCTGCAAAGCAAACTCCTGAGCAGCTGAATTTTGCTCCTGCAGCCACAGGCCAGGCAGTCTCTCTGGGACTTTGAAGGCTTCTTTCCTCCTCATTGCTGATTTTAGCACAGCTTGTTAATCTGCTGCTAATTTTGTACTTCGTTATTTATTTGTGTAACAGCTCTTAGTAAATCCCTGTAGCTAAATCCAACCACGTTTGCTGAGGACATTAAGAAAAGTTCTAGGGGTTTCCTGTGCAAGCAGTTTTATAAACACACGTCACACTGAGGAAAGATCCTTTCTAGTGATTCACTAAGAAAAAACAACCTGCATTTCTTTTTCCTTTAACTTCCCCTCCTTCCCACGGCGATCATCCTCACAGGTCTCTGTAAGCAAGGTGTGATGGCAGCCCAGTTAACATCCACCCCAGCAGCGTCCTTCGTGGGGCTCATCTGAACAGGAAAACAGGATGAGCAGAGAGCCGAAGGCGTAGTTCGTGTTGTTATGGCAGGGAAATGGAATCAGTAAGAGACAGGAATCGCACAGGAATCGCAGCACACAGCCTGGAGTGGCAGGAAACGGGGTGAGCCGCTGCTCTGTGTAAGCACGGTGTGGGCCGAGGCTGGCCCAGGCTCGCTGCCGGGCACCTCCCGCGGGCCGGGGGTCGGGAGAGGCCGCAGAGATCCCCCTGCCAGTCGTGTGCGGGACTCGCTCTCTGCCACTGCTGTCACCAGGCCCCGGCGAGAGCCCACCGAGGCCCCGCTCGGCAGCACGGCCGCGGGCCGGGTCCGCCCGCCGCCTCCCGGCCGCACACGCGGAGCACGGGCTCCCTCTGCCGCCGCCGCCCGGCTGCGCTCCCGCTGCACAGCTGGGGCACAGCTGGGCCACATCTGCACGGCCACGGAGCGGTGACGCCACACAGCGACTGCCCCCGCCCGGACAGCCCTGCCCTGCCGGCAGGGTCCAGGTCCAAGCTGTTCCCACACACCCACCGCCTGCACCCCACAGCCCCTCTGCCCTCACTGCACACTGAGCCCGGGCTGCAGCCGGCTGCTTCCATCTCCAGGAGACTTTGAAAGTGCTGCCTCTGCCTAGGGAGAGAGAAAAGCTGCCCACAACCTCCCCCAAAGGTTACGATCCATGTCTGACTCTGGGATTCACGCTAACAGAGAAGCCAACTGATCCCAGCTTTGCTAGGATGGGAGGGCAAGGGCAGCTCCAAAAGCTGGGCCTGAATCACTTCCTCATGAAGAAAAGGTAAAGCTCAGGGTGTTTTATCAGTCTGGCCTTGGTGGCTCCAGCTGCCCCCTGAGCACTTTATCAAGCCTTATATCTGGGCCTGTGCTAGGAAAGGAGCATAAGAACCAGGAGAGTGTTCTGCACACACCAGGAGGAGCAGGAAAAGAGAGGTCTCAGGATAGAGATGGGTTACTGCTGGAGCCAGCTGAGCATCAGGATCAATCATCTTCAACATTTTAGCAGGAGCACCAGAAGTCCAAGATAGGCATAAGTTTCCCACTGGTAAAGAAGAGGAATGGGATAGGCTACAACAAGAATAAAGAGGTGCTGTCACCTGCTGGTGTTCCAGAAACTGGCACAGGATTAGGACAAGGCTGCATGCTTGAGAAGCAGAACAGCCTCTGCTCTGTACCCAAAAGCAGAGAAATGGACTGGTCCAAAACACACTGGCAATCATAGGTCAGCCAGTGAAACCAGGGTACATCAGGCTCTGCCAGGAAAGACAGAAGCAGCTGTCCCACTGAGTGAGACCTCACCTGAGGCCTCCAGATCATGCTGCCTGCCCACAGCCAGGAGAGCAGTTCTGGTGCCAGGCATACTCACCAAGCCATGAGCCAGGTTTCACTGTGACTCCACAGGCACCTACAGACAGGGGCCAATCCACAACAGACAAATCATTTCATGCCTCCAACTCCAGTTGCTCTGGAGAAATGAGGCTGGCCAGGGTGCCTGCTGAGAAGTCTCAGAGGAACAGATGGCAGTAAGGCAGTACCCACACAAAGGGGTCACTGAAAGCGATGTGCACACTGAGTGCCCGGGGGTCCTCTCACTCCAGGAGACAAAATACCACAAATGTTGGTTGGGCACCATATCAGCACTGTATCATCATGGGGCAAGTCAGTCCATCCTGTTGTGGAGTGCAAGAATCCTCCTGAGGGAGCTGTGCATGCCTTCCAGACAACTGCATAGTGTGGGTCTCCTATCATGGGTGCATGACCTGACTGAGGGCCAGCACTAGGAAAGGACTTGTTTAAAGAAAACAAGTGGTAGAATTATCGATCAGGAAAGTGTCTGCATGAAAAATGTTAAGGCTGCACTTCTAGTTTCATCTTGGCAGAATTCAGCTAATATGGAATACAGGACTTATGAGCAATAAAAGTTACAGCAGGACTAAAGGACGCTTCCAAGCAATGCTCTGCAGCCGCACCTCAGGACAGGAGCATCAGGTTACCTGGAATCTCTGAACTTAATAACCCTCCAGTTTTCAGACACCCGTCTAATGCAAAGGAAAGCCTGACCTTGCATAAACTACACATTAGCTGTGGACTTGGGAGGCAGAACCATTTCTCCGAAGAAGGAACATTGCACGTGGATGCACTCCAGCCCCTGCAGGCTCTCCACTCCTGCTCTCAAGAGCCACTAGCAGCAGGCCAACCTTCTCTCCTGATCAGGAACCCATCGAGATACAAGCACACGTGGTCCTTGTGCCGAGATGCTGAACAGCAAGACCAACAGGGCCTGCAGGAGAGCAGCACTGCTCAGAGCAACCGCTCCTCTCCAGCACAGGTGGTGTGCGGAGGTGCTCCCAGGCCACGAGCTGAGAACCGGGCAGCACCGGGACACCTCCCCGCAGGCAGCGGCGGTGGGGACACAGAGCGAGCCCCTCAAGACTCCTGAGACCGGGGAGCAGCGGGAGCTCCTCCAGCAGAGTGGGAGCGAACCGCTCTGCTGGGAGCCGCACACGGGCCTCTGGCTGAGGGAGCTCCTTCCCGCCGCTCCCAGAGCGCCGCGGGAAGGCCCCGCAGGACCCCCACAGGACCCCGCTCGCTCCCCGGGCCCGGCCCGCCCCTCGGCCCCGCGCACCTGGTGGCGGAAGGCGGCGCCGCGCAGCAGGTCCCGCAGCAGCCCGAGGCCGATGTCGCGGCTGGCGCCCTCGGTGACGAGGTGGAGGTGCAGCACCTCGGCGGCGCCCAGGCGGCCGTGCCGCAGCAGCGAGCGCAGCGCCGCCTGCGCCTTGTCGCGGAGCGCGGGGTTGCGCTCCGCCTTGGTGAACATGAAGAGGAGGTGCAGCCCGCGGGGCCCCGGGCCGGCCGGGGCGGGCGGCGTGGCGCGCAGGCGGCGGGTGGCGCTGGAGAAGGTCTCGCCGCCGCCGCCCAGGTAGTAGAAGGCGCAGACGGCCACGGCCGCGGCCGCCGCCAGGGCCGCGGGCTGCGGGCAGCGCAGGCAGCCCCGGCGCGCCGAGCCCCGCAGCGCCGCCATGGCGGGGCGGCACCGCCCCCGGGCCCGGGCCCGGGCCCGCCCCGGCGGCAGGGCGGGGACACCGGGCCGGCCCGGACAATGACACACCACACACGCCACAGTCAAGTTTTAGATACAAACTCTACAGCCGTACATAACGCGAAGGAGGGCGGAGTATACAGTCTGTACAATTACAGCTTAAGGGGGAAAAGGGTTTTTTTACATTTTACTGCTGGAATGCTTAAAAAACACCGAGTACAGAGGAACGCGCAGAGGGAAAACAAAAAGTTCATTACTTCGGAGAAAGTAACG